GTATAGTCTCAATGGAATTCATATTGTAGTACATTTAATCATTTGTCTATTTTCTAAAGATGTTATTTCCTGTATTTCAGTTATATGAAAATGCTAAAATTTGAAGTATCATTCAATATTGTTGCAAATTTAATGTGTATAAAAATTCAAGTCTCTTGTACACATATAACTACATGACTTTCCAACAGTATTAAACCACTTTATGCGGCCACTAACAAGGCATGGTCATGTCAATTCTCCCATATGTCTCATATGATCTTAGTTCAGACAAGATACATTAATTGAGAACTTACTAAGTGACTGATATACCAAGGTCCATTGTGGGGGCTTAGCATTTTTTGAGCAGCAAAAATTTTTCTTTGGCATTTAAAAAAAATTTGTGACATCTCAAGAGATTAAACATATTAATACTGATTTCTCATTCATGTAATTGAATTCATTTTTACAAAGTTTATCTTTTATCAATTTTATTAGAACTCTAATAAATGTGATAATTGTTCTATCACAAAGACTTTTGTCTCTTATTTAACTTTCAGGCTATTTTCTCCACTTACAATTTGAAATGTAGATGAGTGTCAATGAAAATGATTACTATTAGGGTGTAAGTTCATACATGCACTGGTTTATATTAAAAAAAACATATTTAAATATGTCTCTGTGATGTGTGAATGGCTGCAGACAAGTTTTCTCAGTAAATACACTTCTGTTATCTCATTAAGGTGCTTTCAAAAAAAAGGTCCAATCAAAACCTTGAGTTCCTAGGGGCCTGTTGTTTTTGTTGTTAAAAGCCATGGAGTCAGTTCCAACCCATAATGACCCTGTAGAGGATTTCCAAGGCGCTACTGGTGAGCTTGAAACAGGGCCAGCTAACTTCAAGGCAGCAAAATCAGCTCAAAAAGTTACGAAAACTGCTCTTTGAAGTTCCAAAGGAGAAAGCTTGATAGATTTTCTAGAAGACATAGGACCATTGTGAGGGTTTATTAGGAAGTTTTAAGAAAATTGAAAAGTGCATTTGTGAGAAAAAAAAGCCAGGAATGTTGCACAGAGGAAATATTTTCCATCACCAGAGTTCACCTATTCATTCTTTGAAAAGAGCAAGAAATTTCTGTCTTATGAGAATGTCATTTGGAAGACTTATCTGATCCATCTTATATCCCTGCTCTTGGCCTTTTTGATTCCTTTTTGTTCCCTAAACTCAAAGAACATTTGAAAGGAACACGATTTGAGTCTCTTCAGGATGTCAAAATTGCCATTTTGATGTGCTTTAAATGGGAGAGTGCATAATTCTTCAAGAAAGACTTACAGAGATGGAAACACCATTTTCAGAAATGTATAGAACTAGATGGAGGAGATGTTGAGAAACAATAGCTTCACATTTTGATTTTTTTTTTTT